GCAGACAGTAACTAAGTGTTTGTTTTGCTGAGCTTGCAGAAACACCTCAGCAATGCTTCACCAAATCTTTCCTGTACATGCAAGGTTGATTGTTAAAGCAGACACAGGCAAACTTCATGAATAGCTAGCTACCCATTTGCCCTCATGTGGGGGTGAGCTTCTTTCAGCGTTTCAACAACAAATGCTTGTCATTTGCTCGGGAGTTTTAATTCAAGGAGTATGTATTGGATATGTAATGGTTGGTCCTGTGTAAACAAGGATTATGCATGGAGGTGTCCCACAGCCTTGACACAGGGAGAGGATTCCTTTCAAAGACCTAACGTCTTGCTTGTGGGTTTGTGGACTGTTGAATAATGTGTGTTTCAGTCCTTAGGATTTCTAGTAATGTATCAGAAGCTGCCATTGTGATGGGGTGAAAGGCTTTGGTAGAGTTATTGTCAACTGCAGCCGTTACTGGATGTTGGTATTATGTGAACATCAATAAACAGTTCCTAGCTTCAATGGAGTGATTTGTGAACTTCCATTCAAACCAACACCATGATATGGTGAGAACATTGTTGAACAATGCATTCAATAATGATTATTTGTAAAATTTTATTAAATACACCAATGGATAACTAATGCTTCACTTTGCTTTATTTCCCTTTATTTTACAAGTAAAGTAGTTGATTTATGAAGGAATGGCAGTATATCACAAGGTAGCTAGCAGCCATGCATCCTCATGTAAAACTCCTGTTGTGACTGGTTGTCATAGCAACTATCACCATGGCGGCAGCATAGCACTGGAGTGCATTCTTTGTCTCTGAGTAATGTAGTGACATGGCAGACGCCAGCCAGCCAGCCAGCACTTCCGGCTGAGATGTTTCCAGCCACGTGGTCGGATCTCAATCCGGAGACATTCAACATCACAGAAGACATTCAACATCACAGAACGTTTTGTTAAAATCTTTGTCCTAATAAAATGTCACTGTCTCTCTCATATGAATAGACAGTGCCCAGGTTAACCTGTTGTAGTTATTGATAAATTGTGACACTGTCATATTTTGTGACTGCTCTCATTTTGTAAAATAATTTTATCATACTCATGGTGATTGAGTTACGAGTGAAACAATTACAATGCAGGCTTTTAGGAGTGACATTCTGAAAAACATAACAGTTCATATCACACGGTTTTACATAATTATATTGTCATGATGATCATCACTATCATTGGATAAATTTGATGACTATGTAATTGTTGCTTCAGTTCCTCAGAAAGCAATGACAGCTCAGGGTGTATGTGGCCTCGAAGCATGTTATGAAGTACAATGATCATGTATTAACCTCCATCAGGGAATATATTTATGGGTGTAAGTGATTGATGTGGCCTAAGGTGGTTAACAGGTCAAACAAGTCATTGTCCTTCCCAGATGGTGGTATAGACATGCCATAAATGATACAAGCCAGGCTGTATTGACCAGTTGTCCCATGGTTACCATGGAAGCGGGATCACTCTCACAAGAACTTTATATTGGAAACAGTGGTATTGGGATGGTAATTTGGTGAATTCTATTAATTGTCCTGGCAGAATTGAGTGTTTATTGCTGTTCAGATTGTGAGGTGCTGCTAGTGTATTGTATAAGCTGACAGACAACATAGTTCACTGATGTGTAAATGTGTCCTTCAACTTTGTACTTTGATTTGCATTTATGCAATGGCACTGATCATTCAAATGCTGCATATTCATAGGAATTTATATATATTATTCATTAAATGCAGGCATTAAAATGTTGTAAGAAGGTGCACAATATTTATGAGTTTATTTTATTTGTTACAAATGGATTGTAAGCAATAATTGTTGATAAAACCACAACAGTAGCCATGGCAGTAGTCTTTGATAGTTTTAAGAAATTTTCCTATTTGGTCACACAATAATGACCTCATCTCAGTGATAGTTAATACATGGTTTTTGTTTAGCAAATGTTAAACATTTGCCTCGATATGTAATGGGTACGTAAAAATATACAGTGAACCAACTGAATGTTTTACACAAGCGTTTTCTAAGTATTCTGAATGAGATTGTGTTCTAATTCATTATGATCACTTAAAGAATTTTCCCCTAAAATATACATGACCTAACTTTCATGTGCATTAAATTTCTTAACACAGCAGTTGATGCTGTATGTCAGTATCATATAATACTATTGCCATGTTTGACACATTGATTTGAGTAAGAGTATGTGTGATAAGTGGAAGGGGATCAGTATTCACCACATTAGTGATGCAGGGATGTGTGTGTGGAGAGATTAGTGGCCCTGCACTGACTGACTGGTGGGGGAGGCATATCACATTTCTCATCTGTTGTAGGCAAGTAGTATTTGCATGGGCTTGAATCCCAGTACACCTCACTATACAGCTTCTGTCAGTTAATTAGTCGTGATTGTATAGTTGCAGTGTCAGTTGGCTTGAATCATTCATAGGCATGGCCTTGTTATGGAAGTTATGTGGAGGTGTACAGTGACTCTTGGCTACTGCAATACTGAAACAGTGTTACAGAGGGGTGAATGACAGCTGGAAGACACTGGGGTAATTGGCACCTAGGGGGGCCTTTGTGGAGAATGTGAACCACATGGGATGGCTGACTTATGGAGGACAGGAGGGATGTTTTGTTACAAGGCGTGGCAGAGGATGTTACGTTGTTGACTTGTTGATGTTCACTTTATTGTTTTATTGTGACCTTTTAGTGTTAGAACCCCACATATTTAGTTCACAAGTCATACAGAGAAAACTGAGAAACATTTTTAATCATGAATTCTGCTGGTCATTAAGATCCATTACAAGAGAATTGTGTCAAGAACAAGAGGATTCGTGTCAATCTCTATAACTGTTTTATGGTGGTTCAATCGGATTCATCACAATGCAACAGGTGTTGTGCGGGGTTCCAATCGTAATGATCTATTTTTATGATGAAATGCAAACCTTGATAATCAAGTTTTATTACAAGACCTGGAAACCTTACACCACTTGTTAGAGGGCTGTGTTTTCAGTCTTCAAAGGAAATAAATACACCACCAAAAAACATGTAATAAATTGACAAAACCTTGTACTCAAATCACCTTCAGATTGATTGAATTTAGTTCAGGCGTCAAATGCTGTCAATGGTATTTTATGGCAGAAAGTAATATGAAGAACTGAATTTGTTAAATCGTTACCATGGTTACAGCCCTTGATCATTTCATAGATACAAGAGATATTTTTTGTTTGTTTAAAAATTTAATCGTCTTGTCATTAGCTCTCTTTATTCCATTACTGAACATGTTCCACGTTTGAAAATTGGTAATTATTTATTATTAAACATTTTATTTATAATGAACAGGAATATTTCCTGATTTGAAAGGTTCCTTGATGTTTGAACCAAAGAAGAAACTCAGAAAGGTTAGAATGGGAAAGTTCAAGACAATACTGCAGAAAGGAAAATGACTTGTCCTGAAAGAGATGTCTGACATTCTGCTGACAATTGAAGTCCATCTGATGAGCTCACTGTCTCGCCCAGCCCCTTCAGCTGTCAATCATTATGACATCACAGCTGTGTAATGTTCTTGTGTCAGATAATTAACTTGATTATGTGCAGCATGATACCAACTAAGAGATGGGTTTCTCCCCTGGAGGTCATAGGGTGTAGCTGACACATGGCTGCTTGTTGGGAGGCTCACTACTCAGTGAATGGGGCTGTCAGCAGATCTGGTTGCTGTATTGTAATAGATAACTTTCCTGTATATCATTGCCCTGTTCTGCTCATCTCGGATGACCTCCACAACATATCATGTCTTATGTGAGATTATGGCCCAAAATGCCAAGTTTATGTTTTGTATTTAGCCTTATTCACAAGTTTTGAATTGGTTTGTGATTAAAATAACACTACTTTTGCCAAGTAATAAATAGATAAAAGCAGTTTCAGTTAGATAATAATGTTGAATGAGATAATGTAGTTTCATTGAGAAAGAGTTCCATTTTCAGCATGTTCAGTGATTATTCAGAGGCTGATGTTTAGGCCCAAGTCTTGTGTAAATGTCAGTGAAAATCCCTTATTACAAAATGTGGATGTGGTTGTGATTATTGTATTGTTATTATTTAGTAAATATAATTGGGGCTTTTCATTGGTAACCATGCTACTGATAACAGTCCAATGAAGATGATGTTGTGTTAATGCTTGTTTTCACACAGTTGCAATCATAAGATACCTCTGTATTTTGGAAAATGAAAAGTTTTTAAAAATAACAGTTTGAGAAAAATATTGATTGTTTCTCCTGTTTGCCTGTCTTGGCACTTATTATAGAATAGAACATAAACAACCCCATGCATTTTCTTAATGCAGTGAGCAAGATTTTGTGTCAGATGGTACTCTATATAACAGATTAAGGATTGTATACAGAATCATATTTACGATTGTTTATAGAAGTTTATTACTAAGACTTATAGACAGGCAGAGACAGTTACTGAACTGAACCTGGTAGTCCTTGTTTACTTAGTAACAGAAGTCAACAAAAGTTATATCTCTTTCAAGTTGATACTTTTCTATGTTCCATGTATTCAAGAATGATTTATATGTGATGTCCTAAATGTATTTAGGTCATGTGAGTTACATGTAACAAGTTTTTATCATGATCAGGTCACTAAAAGAAACACATTTTTTGTCTTGAAAATCAAATGCTTATTTATTTACCCGTGTTCTCAAAAGGAAATTTAATTTTTTTGTTTTTTTACTTTGTTTGAGTTTCAATTGTGTATTCTATAGTACTTATTATTTCCTTGAAATCTTGCATTGTCATCTTTAGTTATAATTTTCACTGTTGGAAGATACGGTGTCCAAGTTGATGATATTTTCAGTATTATAACAGGATGAATGTATGTATTAGAAATCAGACTTTTACCTGTCTGTTACCACTTTCATAAAAGTCCATGTGAATAGAGAACAGGATGTTTTGTTGCTTAGTCCTTCATGCTTGTCTCCCTTGTTTCAGATACTATAAACGAGATCGTGAAGCACAGAGTCTAGAGAAGAAAATTGCTGGTTTTGAGGCCACAATCCTCGACCTTCAACAACGTCTTTCAGATGCTGAAAGCAAGAAGAAACCACTAGAGAAAGAAAATGCTGTAAGTTTAGTTGTAATGATGTTCGAACATGATCCAGCTTCTTCTACCCTCAGTATTGTTATTATTCTTTCTCAGGAAATTATATAAGATTTATGTCATTGAATATTTTAATAAACATTAAGACAAATAAATGCAAAGAGTATTAGAATGGTAGCCAAGAAACAATTATAAATGAATATAAAATATGATCTTATAGTTGTTTTTACTGAAGCTTATCAACAAAAGTTTCCAAATGGTAAGAGAACTCTGTTTTGAATGCATGATTTTAGGCGAAGGAGTTGCTTTCTGACATCCAGACATTGATTGTGTACTGTTTACAGAATCTACGAGCAGAAAATGCTGCACTGCAGAAACAGCTGGACAAACTCAAGGCCCAGTTGGAGGAAGAAACACTTCTACGTGCGTCGACCTTGAGAACAGAGTACAGAGTCTCAAGGAAGACATCGCCTTCAAATCTCAGGTGTATGAAAAGGTATGTATACTCAGAAATTAACTACTGTCTTTAGTGAACTGTAGCAAGTTCACAGCCTGGAGACAAACAGTCCAGTAACATACACGAACATGGATTTGTGCTTTGGCGATATATTGACATTCATCAACTGTGTCAGTGATTTTGACAACTGATCCTATTTGTTGCCAAACTGTTATAACATTGTATTGTAATAATAATGTACTGCTATGTCTTGGTGATTGACATAGAGGTTAATTGAGAGAAATGGTTGCACTGAGCATCTGTAGATGAGGACCTGTTGTAAAGAGTGTTGTTGACTGCAGGAACTTGACGAGAGTCGAACCCGGACTACTGTTGAGCTGGAGGAGGTGGATGGACGTCTGCAGCAGGAGTATGAGGACAGACTAGCTCGACGCTTTGCGTGATTTGAGGGGGCAACACGAGCATGACCTGCACCAGGTCAAGGTTGAACTGGAAGTTCTCTATGAGAACAAGGTAAACAGTGATTTCTGTTCCGCTATCGTATCAGTGTGCAGCTTGAGTTTCTAAAGTACTGTCGGAAATGCTAGAAAAATGCTTTTTAGCCTTAATATCTTTATAAAGGTGATAAATGTACTATGTTGTCACTATATCAACTCGCCTATTGTCTACCTAATTTTTATTTCAATCGATTTAACATTCCCATGCATTTAAAGGGCAGTTTACAGGAGAAAATTTGGTACCAAAACAGCAACTTAAGATTTTTTCAGAGTTCAACAACAGAAATCTGAAATAGTCTTTACATTTATGCTAATAATACAGGTGGTGTAAAAATATAAATTAACGTTTTTCCTAAACAAATAAATGTGGAATGTTTGTGTTACTTTACTTAATTATCGTTTTCTTTATGGGAGAAATATTAATATAAATGTTAAGTCTTGATAAATAAGTTTCCCGTCATGCAAGCAGATCTTTATCACAGCGTCCACTATGGCCAACGATTTGCAGTCGATTGTTGCAAAGGTTTATAGGTTTTTCTGCTTAAAAAAGACAGAGGTAAAACTTTCATTAGTTTAGAAAGGGTTTATTACAGAACTTGTAGAGCTGTTGGCATGTCTTACCAACAAGTTTACAATATTGTAAACAAATCAGACAAGACAGGGACCGTCTCAAATGCAAAACCGGGACGTAAAACCATCCTTGACAACTTTGACAAGGGAGTGCTTAGACGGGCGGTCTACAAACTTTATGAGAAGAAAAATATATATATTCTAAAGAAGCTACACCAGTGTGACCGTTAAATCTTTGGCCAATGTTCACAACTAGATTAAACTGACCGAATTACATCCATATTTTTTCAATGAAATATACTGTTGACATGCAAAACATTTATTACAGCGTTGCACATTTCTACAATCAATCGATAAGATAACACAAGTGATAGGATTCTTTCCAATGTACAGTAATTAGGTATGTTTATTTCAAAACAAACACACATACACAAATGATCCCTTACATAACTTGTCACATTATACTATCGTTACTCATATTCAACATTTTGCAGAAAACATCTATTGAGATGACCCCTCGCCCGGCGTGTGCTCAGGTGTCAATTTCACCTGTTGATACCGTGCATGCTGATGACGTAACACAGGCAGTTAATGTTCGTTTCAAATAACGTCCAACTACGTTTTCTAAGTTTTTGGTATTTTCATCAGTAAAAACACATTTTAGGGCATGTCTCAAAATTTATTCCCTCGGTCTACATTAGGTAGATGTTTCTTGAAGTGATATTTGTTATTTAAGTAACTGTAATACCTCTGAATTTTAAATATAAGTCAAAAAGCATTTTTCTAGCATTTCCGACAGTACTTTAGTTGTTCTTCTTATCACGGTATCTAGTTTCTTTAGAGTACCAAATTTTCATTTGCTGTCAAGTTAATTGTGGTATCATACTAAGCAAATCCTTAGACTTTAATAGCCACAGTTGCCATTGTGAAAACTAAAAAAATAGGATTGAAAATGAGAGAGTTATAGTATTAAACTTACTTCTCAATTTGGATCCCTCATAAAATTACCAAAGCTTTAATCCTAAACAATCCCAAGAAACTAGGTTAAGATTTCTGTTTGTTTGTTTACCAATAACGCCCCACTCAGCAATATTGCAGTCATATGGCGGCAGTCTGCGAATAATCGTGCCTGGACCAGACAGTCCAGTACTCAACATCAAGGGCATTGATCTACGCAGTTGGGAAACAATGACATGTGTCTGACCAATTGTTCCCATTTGTTGTCTCTTATGACAAGCATGGGTTGCTGAAGACCAATGAAAACTGGAATCTTCACGGGTTGAACTGGTTAAGTGAGTGAGTGAGTGAGTTTAGTTTTACGCCACACTCAGCAATATTCCAGCTATATGGCGGCGGTCTGTAAATAATCGAGTCTGGACCAGACAATCCAGTGATCAACAGCATGAGCATCATCTGCGCAATTTGGAACCGATAACATGTGTCAACCAAGTCAGCGAGCCTGACCAACCGATCCCGTTAGTCGCCTCTTACGACAAGCATAGTTGCCTTAAGAATTATGACTCAAATGGTGCTTGTCTAAGAGAACTTCACTCGTCAGATATTCACTTGTCCTCAGCACAGTTTAGAAGCCGTCGGCAAGCAGACTTGGTTAGTAAAGGTGGCATTGGTCTCTGCATTTCTCTTACCTCCATGTCAGAATGTGGAGACCTGATCTGGTGTTGTATGTGGGCGGGAAATATGATTTTGAGCTGGAGAGTAAATCCATCATACCCTGCCACAAAGTATACAGGCTGCGCATGGATTTGAACAGAATATATCCTGCATACCACACTAAAAAGCTGTAAGCCAGACATATACAAGTCAGAGAAAGTCACTTGACACAGCACGAGTTAACCTCAGGTTCATGGCAGGTGGTATAAAACTGATAATGTTCTCTTTCATGAGTATTTGTGTTACATTGTACAATTTCAATCACAGCTATGTTGAACGCAGCTGCAAAATGCAGCTGTTAAAAAGAAAAACATACCATGATATTCCTATCCTCATGATGCAAATGGAGGTTAAAGCATTGCAAGTACTCAATTAAAACATGTTTAAACTCGTGACCGGTTTTCCTCTTACGGGCTGTTACTGCAACACCTGCCAAGCTGCACTGTTTAAATACTGCCCCCCTCTGATACCACTGGGGAAAGAAAACTTGCCTGGCAAAGATGAGTGCTTCACTTGAGTGATGCATCTACAGTACAATGTGGGTCATGAAACGCATGCCTCAGTAAACATCGTGGGCTGATGTGGTGATTTAAACAACATGACGCTGTACCGGTTTACCTGATGCATATTTCAAAATGGAAGATGTTTACTCTGGAAAGTTTAGCATGGCGCGGAGGTTCTCAAAGGTAGATTTATTTAGGTTCAATCTTGGATTCAGCCTGTCGCAGTTTGGGCTCTAAAAGGTCATAATATTATTATTCTGTCTGTTGAAATGACCTGATATGGATAGCATGAGTTTGACTTTCTGTTATTGACAGTGATTTACTGGGTAGATATGTAGAGTGATATGTTGGGACCAAGTAGATGAACACACCTGGCCATTCAGAAAGAGATCATTTAGTTGGCCATGGTGAATTCATTCGCAATTTATTATTGCACTATGGATTTTCATTGGAAATAGCAATCTTCTGAATGTGTTTTACCAAGATGAAACACAATCATGCTTTATGTAAATTGCCAAAATGACTGGAGTGAGTGAATATTGCTTAATATTACAGCATGAATATTGCAGCTATTTGTGTTGTTTTAATGCTAGAACATGTCCAAATGATAAAAACTGCATTTTTCTAAGGAGACAGTTTGCACCACCTTTGAATAATCCTTTTCAGGAGACATATTGTGGAAATACCATAGGGCCATTTGTTTTCTTGACCTCAATCTAGCACTCTATGTGAAGTGTGGATGAGTTATTTTTTTCAATTTTGTTCAGGCTTATAGTCAACTCCAATTTCTGTGTTGCAGCTGGGAGATCTTCAGAGCCAGGTGGACCGCAGTGGGGCGTCAGCTGGCAATGCCTGGGACGAACTCCGGACCATCCGCAAGAAGTATGATGATTTGTCATCGGAGGTAGCAAGACTACGCTCTGAGGTAGGAGCCTCAAACTTTATAACTTTGTTACCCATTTCAGAATATTTTGCTATATTTGAAATGCTGTTAGTGAAATTCAGCATGACGACACATTAACAGTGTTCCTCAACATTCATGTCCTATGGTGTTCTAGAATGCTTCCTATGGGGGACGTGTGTCAGAGCTGGAGGAACGTCTACGCCGTGAGCGTGACGAGTTCCTCATCCGCCTGGAACAGAAGGATGCTGAGATCGCAGAGTTGAGGCAGAACCTAGATGACCAGGCCATGGAGTACGCGGATCTCCTGGAGATCAAGATCCGGCTGGACCGGGAGATCGACGCATACAGGAAACTGCTGGAAGGCGAGGAGGCCAGGTGAGCAGCTGCACAGTTGCTTGTTGTTTAACACAGCAATGTTCTGGCTGGACAGTGGTCTTTAGGTGGTCATGTCTGGGCAAGCTAATCTTTGATATTATGAGCTGTAATCCGTACGATGACACGTAGTAAACCAAGTCAGAAGCCTGACAACCTCAGTGATGCGACGTTTAACAAAACATTGCAATATACAAGAAGTTGTTATCCATGAAGTCATTCTTCATTGTGAAAAGAAAGTTGTATTTTATACAGACAATACACAAAGTTATCTCTTTATTCATAGCTGCTAAGTTTTATTTTGTTATTAATAATGCATAAATATTTCACCTCACCAATAACATGAAGTAAGTTACCTCTCTGTATCAATAATGGATCAATATTTTGTGTGTCAGTCTCTCTGATCTAGATCGATAGCCATCCAGATTGATAACCATAACAGATAACATTCATTTTGCCCTGTGTCCAGGTTGAACCTGTCCCAGTCTGCCACAGAGGGAACCCCGCGGAAGACACCCAAGATCTCCCAGGTGTCACGTGGCGCCAAGAGGAAGCGAGTGACTCTGTCCGAGGCGGTGGAGGAATTCTCCCAGCAGGCCAGCAGCAGCGGCTACTCAACACAGACCTCTGCCAAGGGAGCCATCGAGATCAAGGAGGTCAACCAAGATGGCAACTACATTAGACTAACCAACAAGTCAGGCAAGGTGAGTCAGGTGGAAGGGAGGTAACTCTGCAAATATACATATCAGAAACTATTGCTCTATTAGTGACTTTTTAGTGCTGAATTGGTATTTGGTAATCCTTGTCTGTAATCAAGGGAGGATCCATAGGTTACAGTATAACTTAGTGTCATTATGCCCTTGATTCGTCTGCTGCAGCCTGCAGTACTTGTTGCCCTTTACTGCAATAATGCTGGGAGGTAGGCTAGACTTGTTTTTAAAGGAACCCAAGTCCAGGGTTTGATTTCCCACATGGGTGCAATGTGTGGAGTCCATTTCTGGTGTCCCCGGCCGTGATATTGCTGCAATATTGCTAAGCACATTGTAAAACTCCCTCACTGTAATACTGCGGTCTCAACTCTAGCACTGTCTACCAAGGTGAGTTATTAGTCTCACAGTAACAGTTTATTGCTGCATCAGTTACTGGAATTTTTAAATCTGTCATTTTTTTGTCTTTGCATTGACCGTGTTGTTTGTTTTTCAGGCTGTAAACATTGGAGGATGGCAGTTAAAACACGCAGCTGGTGATGACGAAACAGTGTACAAGTTCCATCGCAATGTCACTGTCAAGCCAGGCCTGGATGTCACGGTATGTGTGAGCTCATGCGCCAGTTGCCATATGTTTCAAGGATATTTACCTTTGGAAATCATTGCTAAAACACCAGAAAATCATTGCTGGTGGGAATCCTGGGTTAAAATTATGACAACATTTCTGAGATGTATGGGTTTCTCGGTGAGAAGTTTATGATGGCCCTTCAGTTCAACAGTTATTGGTTAAGTACTTTTGTCTTTACTTGCCTCATTAATCCAATTCTATTCAATCTCATTGGTTTATAAATGTTTCCTGTGGGATATATTTGGGCTGGTGGGGTTGCCTAGATGTTGTGTGTCTGCTGTCTCTTGCCAGGATATTGCTGTAACAATGCAGGAAGCTGCAGAAAACCAAATGCAGTCACTCCTGTTGGATATGATTTTGGTTTGTCTGTTATTCAAGAATCAGCAGAATAGGTCCGACACAAAGGTCACTAAAACTTTGTGTTCAGCCTCATTTGAAGGGATAATGTGTTGATAATTTGCTGTCATGATCTCAGGAACAGAATCAATGTAAAAAATGGATGCATAGGGCCAAAAGATACTTTGAAATATTTTGGTTTGCCGTCCAAGCAGTAGTGGACATGGAACCCAGGACCTGATTACTTAGTTCCTTTTATGTACGTGGATGACCTTGTATTGACCTTGTATTGGCAGGTATGGAGCTCTGATACCGAAACCACACATGACCCTCCATCTGACCTTGTGATGAAAGGTCAACGCTGGTTCATCTCAGATTCTATGAGAACAGTAATTGTCAGCAAACAAGAGGTGAGTCAAGGAATTATACATTCCTGTTATTTCCAAAGAAAATATCAGTACATATTATAAAAATTAAAGGATCAGTTTGTGGAACTTGACCTTGACCTTGACCCCAAAGCCAGTCTTTCATGAGCAGGTTCCAGCATTCTTACAACAACTGTATGTAATGGAGTGACTCTCCAAAACATGATGAAAAAATATCTGAGGCTTTTTGTACAGGGGTCGGTGTGGAGGCCTAGTGGTTCAGTTGTTCAGCTCATCACGCCAAAGATCTGCTAAAAGCATGTAAAACTAAACTCACTCACTTTTGGTGCAGATTGTTTATAGTTGAAGTTAAGTTCTTGTTGACGTTAATAGGATACATCGGGCATGGCTTGCTTTCATTTTGAAACTATTTTACATTCCCTGTTTGACAGATTTTGTATCTAAGTTGCACTGTTCATACTCGCATAGTAGGCATGAAAACTGTCTGTTGATTTGTTATGTCAAGGGCAAGTTTTGTAATGTGCCATTATAGACTTCACTAAAATGTACAGTATTCCAGATACCTGGCAATATCTGCAGTTTATCATGGGCATGGCCTGTGTGTCATGTGATAAATGAAGGCAACAGGCCATGGATATGTTCAGTTCTGTGTTACATTTTGAAATGTGAATGGTGAATATATCCTGCTGTGTTTCAGGAAGTGGCATCATGTGACATGGCCAAGTCCTCCATGAGTAGCAGCAGCTCATACCGAACAAGTTCCAGCCGACCCGGCCGGCGAGCTACTACAGTTTGAAGGGGAGGGAGAAGATGTGAGTACCATTCTCTGTTATCTTGGGTCTACATAGCCGTTTACAGACTCACTTACATGGGACTTATATCAGCTGTTAACAGACTTAGCTACATGGGGTATATATCAGTCATTTACGGACATCTTTTATTTAGCTTACACCTGTCAATATGGATTCTCTTACATGGGGCTTACATCAGTCATATATGGATTCTCTTACATGGGGCTTACATCAGTCATATATGGATTCTCTTACATGGGGCTTACATCAGTCATATATGGATTCTCTTACATGGGGCTTACATCAGTCATATATGGATTCTCTTACATGGGGCTTACATCAGTTAATATGGATTCTCTTACATGGGGCTTGCATCAGTTGTATGGATTCTCTTACATGGGGCTTGCATCAGTCATGTATGGATTCTCTTACATGGGGCTTGCATCAGTCATATATGGATTCTCTTACATGGGGCTTACATCAGTCATGTATGGATTCCTTACATGGGGCTTTCATCAGTCATGTATGGATTCTCTTACATTGGGCTTACATCAGTCATATATGGATTCTCTTACATGGGGCTTACATCAGTTGTATGGATTCTCTTACATGGGGCTTGCATCCATCATATATGGATTCTCTTACATGGGGCTTACATCATTCATATATGGATTCTCTTACATGGAGCTTACCTCAATCATATTTCATGTATGGATTCTCTTACATGGGGCTTACATCAATCATATATGGATTCTCTTACATGGGGCTTAAATCATTCATATATGGATTCTCTTACATAGAGCTTACATCAGTCATGTATGGATTCTTTACATGGGGCTTGCATCAGTAATTTACAGAATTGCTTTTATGGGTTTTTCATCAGTGATTTACACATTCTCTTGCACTGAGTTTGCGTCAGCCATTTACGGATTCCCTCACATAGAGTTTTTAGCTATTAACAGACTCCTATACATGGGATTTACATCTGTCATTCACACACTCCGTTACATGGCGTCTGTATCGTCAGTGATTGCAGGCTTCCTTACATGGGATTCACATCAGCCAGTAACAGACAAAAGACTCCCCTTCATTGTTGTCTATTGAGCGTAATCTTATTTGATAAATCACAAATCCATGGCGTGGAAGTTTTGTGTTGTCCACTTTTCCCCAAATAAGTGGATTACACTAAATTGTGTCTATTGAGCGTAATCTTATTTGATAAATCACAAATCCATATCTGGATTATTTTTCAAATACGATGTCGAAGTGCACCATCCTTCAAGATGGAGACACTGGCGCCGTGATCTCATCTATTCAGCCCGGGCGATTGGCTCACGCCAATCGACCTTAAAGGATGCTGTGATTCAGACACCATACACATCCCTCGCTCAAGCAGTAATCTGCGCCCTTCTTACGCATCGGGATGTATTACCAATTCAGGGTGCTCCTCTCGCATCAATACCGCCCTGCTGGTGTCTACCAAGCTCATGTTAGCTCCAGTTACCCTCTAGCTCGCTTCGGCAAGGAAGGGCGCGCATACCTCTTAATACCCAGACGACCGGTTGCTCGAGCACTAACACAGCCAGCGCCGAAGTCAAGATGCTACTCACACAGTGCGATAGACATTCTAACTCGACTGGGTGGATCATCAACCTCAAGAAATCCCACCTGGTACTCCACCCAGGACTTGGTTTCTTGGAGGAGCCATTCCAAACGTAACAAGGATCTCAAGCTTCCTTCGGCGTCGACCGGTCACCAGAGTTCGGCAAAACAGAAAACATTTAAAACATTGAATGGGTTTTCAAATAATGCATTTAGGGAGTATGTAATAGGCATTGAGCAGTACAATAGCTGTACACTCCTTGGTGAGAAAAGCATGAATACCCAAATACATTAGTTTTGTTAACTGTTGATAATTAATGATATTTTATACTTATCCTGACTCATAGTCTACGGGCTCTCCTAACTGTCATCTCTCATACAATATTTGGCTTCGGTCGATATATTTGGGTGTTATAATGGAGAGAGTGACACATAGCCAGTGATCACGTGGGATGCTGGCGCGGGAAGGAGAGAGAGGCCCATTTGGGGTGAGCTATACTAGACTGTTCATTAGGGAAAAAAAGGGGAGCTAAGCAATGACGTATGAGTCAGGATAAGTATATACAGTCAAATCCTGATGAGTCGAATTCCGGTGTCTCGAATAATATGCATAACTCGAAGTATCTGTCGCTCCTGACCATTCCCTCTTATAGTTGTCATCATTTGAATACCGGTTACACGAATTCGTCTCATAAATACACACGATGACTCGAGAAGAAAATTTGGTCCCATGAGATTCAAACAACAGCAATCTTGTATACATAAACTGAAATCAGTCATTGAGAAGTTGATTGGTGTAGCAAACTGATCCAATTAACAAACCAGCGCGGCTCACACCTTTACGCCATTGACGGGTTAGCTCAAAAGGCAGATTAGTGATTTTATGGAAATCACTGTCTGTGCTAATCAGACTGGAACTGATAAGGTGCCCCTATTAGTGATATGGAAATCATTAATGCTTAGGTGGAGGAATTAGGACTGGATCATCTTTTTTTCTACCCTCATAGACATACCTATGTCTCGAATACATCGATAAGTCGAATTTATTACTTGCACCCCAGCGATTCGACTCATCGGGATTTGACTATATCAATTTTATCGGAAAAATTACATTTTTTAAACTGTTGATAATTAATTGTGAATGTCATTATGGATGTACACAACACCCTGTAAATATTTAGAACAAATCCTTATAACAGTCTTTTATTTTACAGGGTCAAAAGGAAAAATGTGCTATAATGTGATCAACCCAGGCATGTCATGACTACAAAACATTATGCATAGTGAGAGGAAAAGGGACCCAGTACGTTATTGGAGAAGAGTGATATCATTATTTCAGTTATTTCCTGGAGATTGTCTTTAACTGTAATATCTACAGCCATCCAGGAACAAGACTGCCGTGAGGGGACAATTTGGGTCAACGTGAGACTCACTTTGTTTTTCTGTTTGTAATTAATCAAAGACGATAATTTTCTAATCATTATCCCCAACGGCATTAAAGTTGCAACCTGTTCATCCATGACAATACATTATTGGTGCTCAGTGGATCCGAAACTTTACATCTGGTTGAATAGTGTTGACAATTTTAGTATTTGTTTCATTCATTGTTGATGCCTTCCAAATATTGTTGGGTAAATGTTATTGATCGAACTTGTCCCCTCATGAGAGAGTAGATGTTTTAGATGTCTTAAGTTATCTGTTAGTGCGTTAGTGTGGGGTAAGTCTCAGTTGCAGCGAATGATCAAATTTACAGTGCTTAATCACTGCCAGAGTGACGGGAAACAATGATTCAGGAGCTGATCCTGGGAAATATGTACAAATTCTTCCCTCAATGTTTCTTCTTCAGTCAGATCACTATTTAGGAGATATGTCAGTTGACCGATGAAGGAGGTATAGTAGCATTGTGGGTGGCGTACTTGCTGATCTTACAAAACACCTGGGTTTTATTCCCCATTTATCTACTGTGAGTCCATTTTGGTGCAACTCGCTGTGATCTGACAAGATAATTGCTTAGTGTTTCAAACCATCCTCACACATCCTGTTTGAATAGCAATATGTAAAAAAATAATTCAAATCTCCTCAATCGTGTGAGAGCATTGGTTTAAAATTAAAACTATGTACTCAACAGTTTGATAGAGGTGAATTTAAAAGAATGAAAACATTTAAAATACCCATATAATAAACCCAAAATAAATATATGTTGCAATCTGATATGATTAGATAAATTTCTTAGTCATTCATTTGTATCTTTTCTTGTGCATATTTCTCAGCATCATTTTAAGGAGGCTGCCATGTTTGAAAATGGTTACAAATATTTGGTTTGGGCAGTCCTGCTAGTAATGACACTGTTCGAAAATGGATGAAAAAATCTCAGGAATACGAAGAACTTAATCTGACTTTGTTACGTTCCATATTTTGTATTTCCATTTAGAAGATAACAAGCTGCCCTGCTAATATATGTAATCGCTTAGGAATCTATCAAAGTATACTATTTATATCCTACGTTATGAATGTTTTGTGTTTTGTACTTTTATTTCTTGCACACTTCATCATAGATGAACCTGTTAATGTTGTTTTAGAAAGCTAAAGCAGTACACTGATGTGGACCAATAATCCTTGAAATGTTTACATGATATGATTCGTATAACACAACTCACTACTAATATATCAATGGATGTTTTGTAAATTGCAAATGTCAAAGTGAAAAGGATACATTTGTTGTAGAAGTCACTTTTGGCGTTAAATATTTGTGTTCTTTTACGAAAATACCAGCAGATAATCAAATGATAGACTTCTTGATCCAAAATGTGCAAGAGTGTGATTTCAAGAGTGTGATTTCAAGAGTGATGTTCACATTGTTATATTGCATGAAATAAACATCTGTACAAAATAAAACATTTTGTGTCATTTTACAATCAGTGCATCAGTGAATTGGTTTAGCCTTATTAGCTCCACTGTTGCAGCTTTAGTGTCAGTGCTTAGTGCTCAACTGAAAGTCCTACTGTCCAACCTATAAAGCACAGAAATATGCCCTGGTATGATTCCATATCTCATGCAGGAATTGTATTAACTGTTGATTAATTTATCTATGGATGCATCTTTGTCTGTTCAGTTAGTCATTGTTTTGTGGAACAGCATGAATCGGGTGTGCATGTTACTTTAGAATAATAATTGAACAATAATGGTTAGACCACAAATATATTTTTGAGTGACAGTAAATGAGTAACATATGGACATACAAGCTGATTCAGGTTGACGCTTTGCATAATAAACATGTTTTTATCCAAGCTCTGCAAAGTTATTGCTGGGAACATTTTAAGCAACCTACCCTTCACTGACCAAGGGATGTAACACAACCTGTGTATACTTGTATGAAGGGGTGATGGTTTGTATGCTTCAGTAATCTGGTCAGCTGCTTCTCAGTAATGAGAAATGGTATCTTATCGTCACTAACCAACTGGGAACTAGGATGCCATTATATGAAGACATTTGTGATGGTTTTGTTTCGCATGGAAAGATTCATGACTTAAAACATTTCAAGTACTGAGATCTGATCTCACAAGGTGGTTGTGTTGGAGTGAATTGTATCCCTCTGCTGATGACCATTTTTGGGGAAATCTGAAATGCATGTCAGTGACATCCATTTGCAGGAATGTCAATTTACATTTACATTTTTTTTCACAAAACAAACTGATGAAAATATTTGTACTTTTTTTATTCTTTTACAAATTTAAACTCTAGGTTTTACAGCTAGTATCTGGTTCAGGTTTTTATATGTTTTTAAAAAGATTTTTGTCCTCCAATGCCTTTTTATCAAAACTGAACAACTTTGGCATGGAGCGCCTTTAAGTGTTGGCTCTTTTCCTGTGTTATCTGCTTGTTCCATATTTGTTGTTACAGAGCATTCTGTTGCTCTTGTTAAACAAAGGGTTACTTTAGAAAGCAATATTGACATAAATCTCACAGCTTTCATGTGACTTTGTTTAAAATTTCAGTCCTTGCCAGTACCTTGTTTCGTGTGTAGGATAGTTTTGACATGACTGCATTGTTTCACTTCTAACATTGGTCTTTCTTGTTGTGAGTTTTATTCTCTTAGATTTGTCATTTTATTATGTGAAAACATATTCCATATGCTCGCCACCATAATAATCATTACAAATCTATTATTTCATGTCATGCACATAATGTATGTAGATGCCTTTCATATAAAACTCAAACATACTCAACCATGTGTTACCTGTTTCTTGGTCTTGATGGGAGGTGGGGCAGCCTAGTGGTTAAAGTGTTCACTCGTCACGCCGAAGACCCGTGTTCGATTTCTCACATGGGTACAATGTGTGAAGCCCATTTCTGGTATCCCTCACAGTGATATTGCTGGAATATTGCTAAAAGTGGAGTAAAACCATTCATGCTCACTCTTGGTCTTGATTTTCATGTGTGCCCTATGAGGATTCTTGGTTGGAATCCAGTCCCTGCAATGTGGTGATCCTTTGTCTGGTGACCCAAGTTGTGTGGCTGGGTGGATCTTCACCAGGTCTCAAGAAGGACATCAATACAGGCTGTCTTCCCATATTATGCTGACACGTCATGATTTATATGAAATTATTATTGTACTTCATGTCTGAAAGCAGTGTAAAACTGATTCAATCATTCAAGTTTTCTGTGGCGGAGCTTGCTCTTTCAAACCTGCAACACATAGTTACACACCCCTGATCTAAACCAAGGAGCCATGTGACCCTGGTCTAAACCAAGGAGCCATGTGACCCTGGTCTAAACAAAGGAGCCATGTGACCCTGGTCTAGACAAAGGAGCCATGTGACCCTGGTCTAAACCAAGGAGCCATGTGACCCTGGTCTAAACAAAGGGGCCATGTGACCCTGGTCTAAACCAGAGGAACATGATGACTGGCTCCTGGTCTAAACCAGAGGAACCATGATGATCCTGGTCTAAACCAAGGGGCCTCCTGGTCTAAACCAAGGGCCATGACCCTGGACCCTGGTCTAAACCAAGGAGCCATGTGACCCTGGTCTAAACCAAGGGGCCATGTGACCCTGGTCTAAACCAAGGAGCCATGTGATCCTGGAAGGGGCCATGATGGCCTCCTGGTCTAAAAACCAGAGGAGCCATGATGACTCTCCTGGTCTAAACCAAGGAGCCATGTGATCCTGGTCTAAACCAGAGGAACATGATGACGCTCCTGGTCTAAACCAGAGGAACATGATGACTCTCCTGGTCTAAACCATGGAGCCACGTGATCCTGGTCTAAACCAAAGAGCCATGTGACCCTGGTCTAAACCAAGGAGCCATGTGACCCTGGTCTAAACCAAGGAGCCATGTGACCCTGGTCTAAACCAAGGGGCCATGTGACCCTGGTCTAAACTAGAGGAACATGATGACGCTCCTGGTCTAAACCAGAGGAACATGATGACTCTCCTGGTCTAAACCAAGGGGCCATGTGACCCTGGTCTAAACCTAAGGAGGAACATGATGACCCTGGTCTAAACCTGGTCATGACAAACCAGAGGGAACATGATGACTCTCCTGGTCTAAACCAGAGGAACATGTTGACGCTCCTGGTCTAAACTAGAGGAACATGATGACGCTCCTGGTCTAAACTAGAGGAACATGATGACGCTCCTGGTCTAAACTAGAGGAACATGATGACGCTCCTGGTCTAAACCAAGGGGCCATGTGACCCTGTATAAACTAGAGGAACATTGTGACACTCCTGGTCTAAACTAGAGGAACGTGATGACACTGCTGGTCTAAACTAGAGGAACATGATGACGCTCCTGGTCTAAACTAGAGGAACATGATGACACTCCTGGTCTAAACTAGAGGAACATGATGACGCTCCTGGTCTAAACTAGAGGAACATGATGACGCTCCTGGTCTAAACTAGAGGAACATGATGACGCTCCTGGTCTAAACTAGAGGAACATGATGACGCTCCTGGTATAAACTAGAGGAACCATGTGACTCCCTGGTCTAAACTAGAGGAAACATGATGACGCTCCTGGTCTCAACCAGAGGAACATGATGACGCTCCTGGTCTAAACTAGAGGAACATGATGACTCTCCTGGTCTAAACCAGAGGAACATGATGACTCTCCTGGTATAAACCAAGGAGCCATGTGACCCTGTATAAACTAGAGGAACATTGTGACACTCCTGGTCCAAACTAGAGGAACGTGATGACACTCCTGGTCTAAACCAGAGGAACATGATGACTCTCCTGGTCTAAACCATGGAGCCACGTGATCCTGGTCTAAACCAAAGAGCCATGTGACCCTGGTCTAAACCAAGGAGCTATGCGACCCCAGTCTAAACCAAGGAGGCACGTGACCCCGGTCTGGTCTAAAAACCAAGGGGCCATGTGACCCTGTCTAAACTAGAGGAACCTGATGACACTCCTGGTCTAAACCAGAGGAACATGATGACTCTCCTGGTCTAAACTAGAGGAACATGATGACGCTCCTGGTCTAAACTAGAGGAACATGATGACGCTCCTGGTCTAAACTAGAGGAACATGATGACACTCCTGGTCTAAACTAGAGGAACATGATGACACTCCTGGTCTAAACCAGAGGAACATGATGACTCTCCTGGTCTAAACCAAGGAGCCATGTGACCCTGTATAAACTAGAGGAACATGATGACACTCCTGGTCTAAACTAGAGGAACATGATGACGCTCCTGGTCTAAACTAGAGGAACATGATGCTCCTGGTCTAAACTAGAGGAACATGATGACGCTCCTGGTCTAAACCAGAGGAACATGATGACGCTCCTGGTCTAAACTAGAGGAACATGATGACTCTCCTGGTCTAAACCAGAGGAACATGATGACTCTCCTGGTATAAACCAAGGAGCCATGTGACCCTGTATAAACTAGAGGAACATTGTGACACTCCTGGTCCAAACTAGAGGAACATGATGACACTCCTGGTCTAAACCAGAGGAACATGATGACTCTCCTGGTCTAAACCATGGAGCCACGTGATCCTGGTCTAAACCAAAGAGCCATGTGACCCTGGTCTAAACCAAGGAGCTATGCGACCCCAGTCTAAACCAAGGAGGCACGTGACCCCGGTCTAAACCAAGGGGCCATGTGACCCTGTCTAAACTAGAGGAACCTGATGACACTCCTGGTCTAAACCAGAGGAACATGATGACTCTCCTGGTCTCCTGGTCTAAACTAGAGGAACATGATGACGCTCCTGGTCTAAACTAGAGGAACATGATGACTCTCCTGGTCTAAACTAGAGGAACATGATGACGCTCCTGGTCTAAACTAGAGGAACATGATGACGCTCCTGGTCTAAACTAGAGGAACATGATGACGCTCCTGGTCTAAACTAGAGGAACATGATGACGCTCCTGGTCTAAACTAGAGGAACATGATGACGCTCCTGGTAGAGGAACATAAACTAGAGGAACATGATGACGCTCCTGGTCTAAACTAGAGGAACATGACGCTCCTGGTCTAAACTAGAGGAACATGATGACGCTCCTGGTCTAAACCAGAGGAACATGATGACGCTCCTGGTCTAAACTAGAGGAACATGATGACTCTCCTGGTCTAAACCAGAGGAACATGATGACTCTCCTGGTATAAACCAAGGAGCCATGTGACCCTGTATAAACTAGAGGAACATTGTGACACTCCTGGTCCAAACTAGAGGAACGTGATGACACTCCTGGTCTAAACCAGAGGAACATGATGACTCTCCTGGTCTAAACCATGGAGCCACGTGATCCTGGTCTAAACCAAAGAGCCATGTGACCCTGGTCTAAACCAAGGAGCTATGCGACCCCAGTCTAAACCAAGGAGGCACGTGACCCCGGTCTAAACCAAGGGGCCATGTGACCCTGTCTAAACTAGAGGAACCTGATGACACTCCTGGTCTAAACCAGAGGAACATGATGACTCTCCTGGTCTAAACTAGAGGAACATGGTGACGCTCCTGGACTAAACTAGAGGAACATGATGACGCTCCTGGTCTAAACTAGAGGAACATGATGACGCTCCTGGTCTAAACTAGAGGAACATGATGACGCTCCTGGTCTAAACTAGAGGAACATGATGACACTCCTGGTCTAAACTAGAGGAACATGATGACACTCCTGGTCTAAACTAGAGGAACATGATGACGCTCCTGGTCTAAACTAGAGGAACATGATGACTCTCCTGGTCTAAACTAGAGGAACATGATGACGCTCCTGGTCTAAACTAGAGGAACATGATGACTCTCCTGGTCTAAACTAGAGGAACATGTGACGCTCCTGGTCTAAACTAGAGGAACATGATGACGCTCCTGGTCTAAACTAGAGGAACATGATGACGCTCCTGGTCTAAACTAGAGGAACATGACGCTCCTGGTCTAAACTAGAGGAACATGATGACGCTCCTGGTCTCAACCAGAGGAACATGATGACGCTCCTGGTCTAAACTAGAGGAACATGATGACACTCCTGGTCTAAACCAGAGGAACATGATGACTCTCCTGGTATAAACCAAGGAGCCATGTGACCCTGTATAAACTAGAGGAACATTGTGACACTCCTGGTCCAAACTAGAGGAACGTGATGACACTCCTGGTCTAAACCAGAGGAACATGATGACTCTCCTGGTCTAAACCATGGAGCCACGTGATCCTGGTCTAAACCAAAGAGCCATGTGACCCTGGTCTAAACCAAGGAGCTATGCGACCCCAGTCTAAACCAAGGAGGCACGTGACCCCGGTCTAAACCAAGGGGCCATGTGACCCTGTCTAAACTAGAGGAACATGATGACACTCCTGGTCTAAACCTAGAGGAACATGATGACTCCTCCTGGTCTAAACTAGAGGAACATGATGACGCTCCTGGTCTAAACTAGAGGAACATGATGACGCTCCTGGTCTAAACTAGAGGAACATGATGACGCTCCTGGTCTAAACTAGAGGAACATGATGCGCTCCTGGTCTAAACTAGAGGAACATGATGACGCTCCTGGTCTAAACCAGAGGAACATGATGACGCTCCTGGTCTAAACTAGAGGAACATGATGACTCTCCTGGTCTAAACCAGAGGAACATGATGACTCTCCTGGTCTAGAGGAAACCACGTGATCCTGGTCTAAACCAAGGAGCCATGTGACCCTGTATAAACTAGAGGAACATTGTGACACTCCTGGTCCAAACTAGAGGAACGTGATGACACTCCTGGTCTAAACCAGAGGA